GCGGACGCCCCACCCGGCGCGACCTCGCGAATCCCACTCACGCGGAGGATGAAGCCCGGATGCCGCATCGTGTTGATCAGCAGCAGGTGCTCCCGGCGAAGCCGATTCGCCTCCAGCGCGCACAGCAGCGACGCACACGACATCTTGCTCGCCGCGGTGCGCGTGAAAAAGGCGTTTTGGGGGATCCCAAACAACGCCGCGAGGTGCCCGAGCGCGTTTTGCACCGAAACGTTCTCGACGTAAAGGGTGAACAGGAAAGCCGGGCTCCGGAGTCGCTCCCGGGGGTGTAAATTGTCGGTAAACCCGATAATCGGCGCCGGGGCATCGTCCAGGTAGTGTATAATATCCATCAGCGTCAGACAGGAGGCGGAGGTGGAGGTGGAAGAAGGGGAGGCACTTGGCGTGGGCGCCTCTCGCGAGGCGGCTACTTCACGTCGCGCGCGATGAACCTTTTCCTGAAGGGATTTCGACAACGAAGCGAAGTCTTGCCCGCGAAGCCGAAGAACAAACTCGAGCGTTAACAAGCAGTCCTCCAACGGGAGCGGCTCCAACCGCACCACGCCATCGTCCGCGGTGATAAACCATGGTTTTTCCACCGAACGCTGAACTATGCGATCCTCGCCGTCCTCCTCGCCAAGGGCGCTGTCGATCGGATCGGAAACAGGGCTGAGGGCGTCCCCCTCCACCAACGCGCCGGTGGGGGTGCTTTCCGGGTTCGAATCCCCACCGGTTGGGGCTGCACCGGAGGTGGGATTCGCGGGTTCCTCCCCGACCTCGGTGGGCTCCCGCAAGGCTTTGCTCTCCGCCTCGAAACGCGCGAAGTCGAAATCCCCATCCAAATCCACCTCGACCGCCTCCGTGGCGGACCGCTTCTCCGCGTCTGGGGTAGCCATCGAGGTGTTCGTTTGCAGGCGGTTTAGGTACGTCCAGCTATCCAGCTCACGCAAGATGGCATCGCCGTAGTGCACCTCGTGAAGCGCGCTGAGGCGTCGGATCTCGGGAAAAAGCCGTTCCGTCATGCCCACCAATAGTTCACTATCGGAGACGCTAAATTTACTCCGCCGACGCTCGATCCGCTCACTGGAAATATGCAGCTCGCCTGAGGCTTCGGCCTCCCGAAGGTTGAGCGCGCGCCGATTCATCTTGGACTTCGACACCGCGGTCGAAGAAACCACCGGGGGTGGTGAAGAAAGCTCTGCGGCGGTTTTCCCATTTTCTACTAAAAAGGAAGGAACGCCCTTTCCCTTGCTTGTGGTCGACGACGGAAGATCAATCGGCTGGATGGAGTTCGCCGAATGCGTGGACGAGGACGAGGCCCCGACGGAAGGGTTGGAGGAGGGGTCGCGAATTCGATCCCGTGGAACCTCCTGCAAGTTGGTGGGGATAGAGGATAGTATCTGTTCGAGGGAATCCTTCACCTGAGGGTTGGCGTCCTCCTCCTTGGCATGGGGGTTATTCGTAAGAGTTGTTGGGTTTAAGGCATTTTTCTTGTCCTTTTTTAACTTATTGCTGGATTTTTTGGTAGGGAAACTATTCGAACGCTTCCTTTCCCTTCCAGAAGCAGTCTTATCCTTCAGTGGGGTCGTGATGGACACACGAGGGGTGGTGCTCTCAGTCACAACTCCAGAAAGTAGGCATTTCGATACGGTCAAGAGCAGATACCGACCGCGCGAAAACATCACACCCCCTTCCTACTACTACGCAAAAGGTAACAAGTAGACTAAGAAAATAATTTCTGCGACAAAGGAAGAAGGGAAAGAAAAAGAATGGACCCCTATACACACACGAATGGGGGGAAAAACAAATCAACGATGGGTAGGACGCATCAAGTTGTGATATCTGAGGTGATGGAAGAAAAAATGGAAGAAGACACCTTTAGTTTTACTTTTTAAACTCAAAATATATCCCAGGTTGCATTTTATGCTCTTATCCCCCCTCATCATCATCTCCACTCCGCTCAACACTAAGGAGGTCATTTGAATTTAACATGTTACAAACACTGAGAGAGCGTCTCTAAGTTTCTTATTATTAATGCACCCTAGTTCGCGTTCCGCTTGTGTGGTCGCCAATAAATCGGGGGGGGAGAAGGGGGGAAGAGGAGGAGATGCAAAATGGCCACCCCATGATGTCATATTTGAGCTTTTGTATATCCTCCCGATTTAGGAGTTCGTTGATGGCCCCAACAGTCTTCGTAATGTCTTTTTCCTGTTTTTGAGGTTATATATATATATATATATATACCCTGTAGTGTTTATAGAGGAAGCCATACACACCACGCAGTTGAGGGCCATGATTTCATAGAAAAGGCAACAAACGTAGCCCACTCGAATTCATCCCCATCTTTCTCTTTTTTTTGTTTTTGATTTCTATATGTATGGCCTTCACTTGCATTCATCCTTCGACAAGTAAAAACTATTCCGTAATACTCCACTTGTGATTCTGACTTCAGGGAGGACTCATGCCAGGAGGGGTCGCGTTCGAATACTTACACTCCCCCCATAACCCTCGATGTGATCTTCGCGATCACAAGGATGGGAGCTCCTCCGCCTCCACGTCTTCCGCCACGGCTCCATCTGTTTCTTTTTCGTCCTTCGTGGGGGTGGTGCCCTCTTCCTGGAGAAAATCCTCATACAGAAAGGAGGTCACCACGGTGCGCCCGCCAAAGAGCTTCCCCGCGATTTGCTGCTGCGCGTAGGCCGCCTCCTCGACGGTTTCGTACACCACGAAGACCTTTCCGATCCCCCCGTAGAGGGGGTGGTTCTGCCGCGCGAGATACCGATCCAGCTCGAGGTTAAATTCCTTTTTGGCGTCCTCGTAGGCCGCCATCGCGGCGGCCTCCTCCGCAGGGGTTCGAAGGGGTTCCTTCTTCGGCGCCTCCGGCGGTCGTGGGCGGGCCTCCCGGCGTGGAACGATCAGCCGCTCCACGCGCCCGTAGGCCTCGACCTCCTCTTCGATCTCCGCGAGCAGCTGGGAGTACGTCCCATCCAACACGAGCTCCTCCTCGTCAAAAAGATTCAACAAACACAGGATTCGGGTCGGAAAGATCGGCACCTGCGTGTTCCCGTGCAGGGAGCGAAGGTGGGGGTAGGTATGGCTGAGTTTGCTCACCGCCTCGGGGAGGGACATGACCATCATGAGGAGGTTCGTCATGTGATTCACCCGCTCCGACGGGATAAGGGCGGTGCTGTCGGAGGAACCCCCCCCCCCCCCCCCGACGCCGGGACTCCCCAGCCGCCGCCCGGGAAGGATCCATCGCCGCC